TTGATTTGATTGTGGATCCGATAATTCAGAATGTGCCATTAACAGTCTTTACTATTACCAGGCTCGTAGCTTTTGGCATCAACAAACTTTTTCTGCGCCGCCTTCTTCAGTTCAGAGACGGGGATCTTTTCTAAGGCTTTTTGCTGGAGTCTAGGCAGCTCATATACCAGCACATGGTGGGCCTTTGACTGTAACATCTTAAAAAACTGTATTTCAGATGCCTAGGAGAGAAAATATTATGTTTCGTTTCATTGCAAAACACTTGTGGTTATTCACTGAACTCAGACTTTTAGCAAAATTAAATATTATTGATAAGACTGAGACAAAAATAGTCAACCTGTGACGAAAGACAGGTTGGAGATTTTTTCAAAATCAGGTATTTCAGCCTTAACTTTGCCTATGGAAATAACTTTGCTAAAATTCAGAGTTTAAGGGATAACCCCGACTGTGTATTACATGAAGTTTATATGTTATGTTGTATATATCCTATTCCATGGTGAGGTTGTTCTACACTGGTAGGTCTCAACCTTTCTGACAGCTTCACCAATCATGCATATGGTATCAGTTTGGTAAACCATTCTATACTTGTTACATTAGCCATGTGACCCATTCTTCCATCATGATATAATATATATGATTAAATGCTGCAAAACACCTTCATTATACTCTTGTCAAAGAGTTTCCACAGAAGTGGAGAATGTAGCATTCCTACAGTAAGCCATTTATTGTCAAAGCTGCTTGTGGCCTTACGAATTTAACATACCTGACTCAAACCCAATTAATGGACAGTCAATGAAGTTAGCAAGGAAACCTAAGTTTGGACCCACACCCGGTGGTTAAACGCCATTGTTTTACCATGTTAAAACAACTCTTATAACTGCCATATACAAGATAAGAGTTATTTCTGAATTCAGTACATAAATTATAGTTGATATTACTTTTCTATATATGGCAAAAAATATTTAATATATTTAATTAAATAATGGTACAATCAGACAAAATTGTCTTTTAAAAATCAGAGAGGGTGTTTACAGGGTACAGCGCATAACCACAATGCTTAAAGGAACACTATAGTCACCTAAATTACTTTAGCTAAATAAAGCAGTTTTAGTGTATAGATCATTCCCCTGCAATTTCACTGCTCAGTTCACTGTCATTTAGGAGTTAAATCACTTTGTTTCTGTTTATGCAGCCCTAGCCACACCTCCCCTGGCTATGATTGACAGAGCCTGCATGAAAAAAAAACAAAACTGGTTTCACTTTCAAACAGATGTAATTTACCGTAAATAATTGTATCTCAATCTCTAAATTGAACTTTAATCACATACAGGAGGCTCTTGCAGGGTCTAGCAAGCTATTAACATAGCCGGGGATAAGAAAATCTTAATGAAACAGAACTTGCAATAAAGACAGTCTAAATAGGGCTCTCTTTACAGGAAGTGTTTATGGAAGGCTGTGCAAGTCACATGCAGGGAGGTGTGACTAGGGTTAATAAACAAAGGGATTTAACTCCTAAATGGCAGAGGATTGAGCAGTGAGGCTGCAGGGGCATGTTCTATACACCAAAACTGCTTCATTAAGCTAAAGTTGTTCAGGTGACTATATTGTCCCTTTAGTTAAAATTAGGTTATGCACTATACCATAATTTGTGGAGCACGGACATTGGGATTCTAAATTTTAAACCATATTAACTTAGCTGGAATATAATTGAAAAGAGTTGCGGTCCCCTTATTAACTGTCCAAATTTAGTGAATAGGCATTTCCACTTCAAAAAAACAGAACACGCCATTCTTAAAATGTATGAAAGAAAATAGCATCCAAAGATAGTACCACTTAAAAATCACTAATCTCTGCGATTTATGTCATTCAACTGCTGTTTGAGTAACTGTATACACCTAGCTGCAATGAGTGTAGATAAAATAGCCATATTTACTGTGAAACATGGCAAGACAAAACAAAATTACCAAGAAGCTGGAAGGATCTTCTGGTGTTTGTAGTGTTTTATTCGCAGGGATTTGGTTTGGAGCGGACTGTGTTTTAGCGGAGGCTGGCTGGGTTACGTTGGATGTATTCATCATCTTGTTTCTCTCTGTGGCAATACAGTCTCGAACCATGCGGAGCTTCTCAACAGGTGCCTTTTTAGGAAACACAAGATGGGTTTCTCCCTGCAGGAAATCAATTCATAAAAATACATAGATTTTAGATTTCTTCTTTAAACTTATGCTCTATGTAGGCTGTTTGGAAAAGCCCTGAACAAATGTGAGATACAAAGCAACATTGTTTCACTTTCACTTATTTCACAAGCTCTACCAAAAATAATCCTGAATAAACAAAAAGCCCTCCTTCCCCTTTTGATTATGTTTATATCTGAAAATCCAAACAGCAATGTACAGCTTAGTACAAGAAAAAAACAAAACCCCAAAGGTGATGTTTTGCTTACTGAAATAATTAATAAAAATGTTAATATTGAATTCAGGTTTATTTCCAATATATCCATTGTAGAATACTGAACATGATACAAGTCATACATAGTTTGCAACACTCTATATATTAATCTAAGACAATCATTCCGGTTTAACGGTTGCCAAGCAATACCTCTTCAAATCCCATTTCAAACAAGCATTCAATGGCTCCTCTCACTGGCAAAAGTCTTGTGGAAAATGCAGTGTTCCCAATCCTTATTGATCTGTATTTTTCCTCATTTGGACTCCTGTTGAAATAAAACAAAAAAATATTATGCCTCATGGGCGTCATGAGTGAGGGGCTTTAGGGTCTGAAGTTGTGTGTATATAGCTGAAATGTCCTGCAGGATCTTTTTTTATTATTCCTTTGCTCTAAGTACATCAAGGGCTTGGGGCTGGATGGGGGTCAGCAACCAGTTGTGCGGTTGTATGCTGTTTGGGGAGCTCAGAGCTGACACAAATTAATGTTCATAAAATTTGGATGTAACTGATATTTTTAAAGCAGAAGTGGCACGAGACAACATGATGAGTGAGAACCAGCCACTGAGTTGTTTCACACTGCACAAAAATGGTTTTATGTAGAACTGTGGGAACTGCTATGTAGTTGATATGATGTCTTAAATAGCTTCTTAAATCTCACATAAAGTATAGTGTAAGCTAAAAACAATATACAATTAAAGCTGTAATATTTAACATTTTATCCTGCAGGCTATCATACACTGGCGTCTAATTTTTGGTCTGTATGCAACTTCAGTTTGAAAGCAGTCTTGTTCTTTTATATTTTAGACACCACAAGATAATATGCACAGCTTCTTTGTCAAGTCAAATGCTCCATTGTACTCTCTATTATAATCATGCAGCACCCAACACACAGCCAGAGGGGGCTAAAATCGTCCAGCACCCAACACACAGCCAGAGGGGGCTAAAATCACCCAGAACCCCAACACAGACAGAGGGGGCTAAAATCACCCAGAACCCCAACACAGACAGAGGGGAATAAAATCGCCCAGCACCCCAACACAGACAGAGGGGAATAAAATTGCCCAGCACCCCAACACAGATAGAGGGGGATAGAACCACCCAGCACCCCAACACAGCCAGAGGGAGATAAAACCATGCCGCATCCCACGCACAAACAGAGGTGGATAAAATCCTGCACCACCCTGTGTTATGGGATGCATGTTGCTTTGTCTGCCCTGAATATTGACATGCTTGCAAGATGTCTCCCTTGTAATGAATATTGTTGTGCTGCAGCCTGCCTCTCTTCAGCTTCGTGTGTAGTTTGTGTATTAGGTACTGCATGTTTTCCCCTTGCTGTCAGTGTATTTGAGTACTTGAGGGTTTTATATCCTTGCTGTTTGCGCATTGGGGTACTGAATGTTTTTTGTTTTCCAGTTTGCTGATTGCTTACTGCAGTGTTTTAGCCTCCTCTGTCTGTGTGTTGGGTGCTGCAGCGTTTTATCCCTCCTATGTCTGTGTGTTGGGTGCTGTAGGGTTTTATTATTCTCCCTGTGTCTGTGTGTTGCAGGGTTATTATTCCCCCTGTGTCTGTGTGTTGGGTGCTGTAGGGTTTTATCCCCCTGTGTCTGTGTGTTGCAGGGTTATTATCCCTCTGTGTCTGTGTGTTGCAGGGTTATTATCCCCCTGTGTCTGTGTGTTGCAGGGTTATTATCCCCCTGTGTCTGTGTGTTGCAGGGTTATTATCCCTCTGTGTCTGTGTGTTGCAGGGTTATTATCCCTCTGTGTCTGTGTGTTGGGGGCTGTAGGGTTTTATCCCCCTGTGTCTGTGTGTTGCAGGGTTATTATCCCTCTGTGTCTGTGTGTTGCAGGGTTATTATCCCTCTGTGTCTGTGTGTTGCAGGGTTATTATCCCCCTGTGTCTGTGTGTTGCAGGGTTATTATCCCCCTGTGTCTGTGTGTTGCAGGGTTATTATCCCTCTATGTCTGTGTGTTGCAGGGTTATTATCCCTCTGTGTCTGTGTGTTGCAGGGTTATTATCCCTCTGTGTCTGTGTGTTGCAGGGTTATTATCCCTCTGTGTCTGTGTGTTGCAGGGTTATTATCCCCCTGTGTCTGTGTGTTGCAGGGTTTTATTATTCCCTCTGTCTGTGTTGGGTGTTGAGAGTTCTATCCCCCCTGTGTCTGTGTGTTTGGGTGCTGTCCCCCCCAGTCCCAGTATAAGATAACCTGGGGTAGGTGAACTCTAGAATAGATGGGGCAGGCGGTAGGTGGGCATTGTAATGGGTGTTTGTGGTTGCAGTTAAGGCCATTAGTGCCCCATTAATAGGGAGGACACACTGCTCACTGTGTCCCACTATGCTGCATTTTATTTCAATCTTACCCACCCTGAATGCATATAGAGTGACTCCCTACCCTGGCTGGCTGTCAGTGTAATGTATCACTATATCCCTATCCAGTGACCCCCATTAATAGACACAGTGTGTATACATTGTATTCTCCCTGCATGCTGCATTATAGCCAGGAAATGACCTCTCGGTGATGACGTGTTACACTCTGTCATGACGTCACGCCGCTCCTACCTGAGGATGTTGTCGGCGTAGGTGAGCAGCAGCTGGGAGGCGTCCAGGAACACGGCCCGCCCGTTCTGACAGAGCTCGGCCAGGGCCGGGGACAGGGAGGCGGCCATGGCGGCTTCACCCGGGGGAACTACCGGCAGACAGGGGCTGGGAGAGCCGGAAACACGGGCAGCGCCTCCCACAGTGTGCACAGCGCAGGGCCGGATGTGAACACACTGACATACCCCCTCCGGCCGGCCCACATCCTCCACACTACAGGTATATGGGATGGGGGGGGAGCTGGGCTACAGGTAGGGTTAGCAGGACCCCCAGTCACAGGGTCATTAGCTGATAGACACACACGGACACTGAGTGTATGCTGCCACACTGTGTGTATACTGCCACATTGTGTGCATGTGTATGTTGTATGTGTGTGTATACTGCCACACTGTGTGTATGTTGTGTGTGTGTATACTGCCACACTGTGTGTATGTTGTGTGTGTGTATACTGCCACACTGTGTGTATGTTGTGTGTGTGTGTATACTGCCACACTGTGTGTATGTTGTGTGTGTGTATACTGCCACACTGTGTGTATGTTGTGTGTGTGTATACTGCCACACTGTGTGTATGTTGTGTGTGTGTGTATACTGCCACACTGTGTGTATGTTGTGTGTGTGTATACTGCCACACTGTGTGTATGTTGTGTGTGTATACTGCCACACTGTGTGTATATTGTGTGTGTGTATACTGACACACTGTGTGTATATTGTGTGTGTGTGTGTATACTGACACACTGTGTGTATATTGTGTGTGTGTATACTGACACACTGTGTGTATATTGTGTGTGTGTATACTGACACACTGTGTGTATATTGTGTGTGTGTATACTGACACACTGTATGTATATTGTGTGTGTGTGTGTGTGTATACTGACACACTGTATGTATATTGTGTGTGTGTGTATACTGACACACTGTATGTATATTGTGTGTGTGTGTATACTGACACACTGTGTGTATATTGTGTGTGTGTGTATACTGACACACTGTATGTATATTGTGTGTGTGTGTATACTGACACACTGTGTGTATATTGTGTGTGTGTGTATACTGACACACTGTGTGTATATTGTGTGTGTGTGTGTATACTGACACACTGTGTGTATATTGTGTGTGTGTGTGTGTGTATACTGACACACTGTATGTATATTGTGTGTATACTGACACACTGTGTGTTTATTGTGTGTGTGTGTGTGTATACTGACACACTGTGTGTATATTGTGTGTGTGTGTGTATACTGACACACTGTGTGTATATTGTGTGTGTGTGTATACTGACACACTGTGTGTATATTGTGTGTGTGTGTATTGTGTGTGTGTGTGTATACTGACACACTGTGTGTATATTGTGTGTGTGTATACTGACACACTGTGTGTATACTGCCACACTGTGTGTATATTATGTGTATGCTGACACACTGAGTGTATATTGTGTGTATACTGCCACACTGAGTGAGTTCCATCACGTTGTACAAATGCCCTCTCAGCCCTTACCAGCTGGTGATGCTGACGTATAGCCAACAGCAACAAACGAGTGGGTTTAGGTTGATCCTTAGGTTATTGCTACTTGCAAAAAAACAAACCTTTTAATGTTTACTCCAACTATTTTTTTTAATTTTTTTTTTTTAAATCGTGTGTTTAATATTAATGATGCCCTATTGGACACTATTCATTACCTCCTTCCTAAAAATTTGCAATAAAACAGTCAAAAAAGGAAGAAAATATATATATTTTTAAAAATACCTAGAATCCAGGGCCGGGGAATATCAAAGCCCCTGCCTTTTGCGCCTCTTGTGACATCACCAAGGGCTTTGTGTGTTCCATTCAAATACATCTTCTACAGACGCATTTGATTGGTCACTCTCTCAGTGCATGCGCACGCTCTGTGCCAGCAAGGGGAGGGAGGTGAGCATTTATGTTAGAGGTAGATGTTAGGAGCATGCACTGGGCATTGATGACAGGTCTAATGTTTGCACAGGATTAACATTAGAGAGCCCGGAAAAGTGTTACATGTGCCAGGGGTGTAACTAGCGCCCAGAAGAAAACAAAAATACCTCTACATGTGTATTGTTTCAAGAATAAATGCTGCACTTACAGACTCCAAACACCATGGCCACTTCTAAAAGCATAAGTGGTCATGGTGGCTAGAGTAACCCTTTAATGACAAAACTATTGCTGTATTTTCATTTATTTTTTAGCAAAAAAGTCCCCTGCATAAATAATCTTTTAAAGCATTTCTTTAATAGAAAAGTGATGATCTGCTTCCCTTGTCCTTTTTTTAACGCCATAAGCCAGTGTGGCACAGAGATTGAATATGCGCTTTTAGAGTGATGAAATGTCAATCGTATTTTACGTGTGGAGATGTCTCTGCTCCAGCCATTGCTTTTTCTTCTGATTAGATTTTCAGATGGTTGATCTCTGCCAGGCAAATGGGTCCGTATTAATCCATTGATGACCCTACTGAACATGCGTGGCAATGACCACTCTGTACAAATACACTACTTTGAGCGTTATTCTTTTGGAAGAGAGCATCTTAAACTAGAACATCCTTCTCTTGTATGGAATAAAACTCCCAATACTCACCTTTTAGAATTTCGATCAGTGTTAATTTTGTCAACTAACAATTTTAGTTAAATTTTAGTCGACTAAACATTTTGAGATTTAGTCGACTAAAACTTGACTAAAATACAACAATCTAAAATGGCATTTTAGTCAAGACTATGACTAAAGGGACCAAAATGTCCAACAAATATATAGAATGCAGTATGATAAAGTCCTGCGAGGCCTGTGCATGGTCTCCACTCACACTACCGCCACACTGACTCTCATATGCTTGTACTCATGGTAGTAGACGACACTCCTTACCGTACCATCCGCAATTAAGGAGCCCACACCTGTATTCATGACTTGACAAGACGCTGGCCATCCTATCACATTTCCCCTCGTACCTAATACCTCATCCCTCCCACCCGTCCCCAATACTGCTACACAGCAACACAGTACTAGTATATGGTACAGATCCATAGACTACTAATGTGCATGACTAATTCTTATGGTTTACTCCTGTTAACAAGCTTAAGGGACTTGCGTGTCCAGCAAAGGATAAAGTATGCTATCAAGTAGTGTAACGGAATTGCTGCACCTGACCGGGTACCTTCCGCTGACGGATGCTCCTAGTGCTTTCCGAGGACTCCAAGCACTCTGCCCGACACCATAACCACTGCAGACCCCACGAACCGCCGCAGCTTGGTTGGGGTCTCGCCGTCTCCACCCACTCTGGACCCAAGACCAGGGTCCAGCTTCCAGTAGGTCAACCTCACTCCGAATTCCAGAGAGCAGGAACAGGAACAAGCTCTTAGCAGAGCTTAGTGATTATACCCTGGGGAGTGTAGTGATTATAGCAATCCCCAGAGTGTAGTTCTCCAATCCCCCAAACGTGAGCCAAAACTTCATGAAGGTACAAGATGATCTGACTTTTAATGACCACACACTGGCTTTTATGCAAGTCCCCATACAAAGGGACATCCCACAGGGTGGGACACAGTACAACCAATCATTTACAGGAAAACCGTAAAACACACCCAGCCCCAACATACAATCCCTCCCCTCTGCCTGTGATATAATTACTGAACACAATGAGTTAATGTAATTTATCACAGGCAGGAAAAATACACTTTTTACACATATACTGTAACTTAAAAAATATGCATCATATTCACATGAAACATACATATTCAGAATCAGCATACTTTAAATATAAACATACCCAAAAATCATACAAATCCCCCCAGTAGATAAAAAGTTAGCTGGGAGTCCTTTATGACCGACCGCAAGCACATTTTCATGCCCAAAACAGTTCCAGAGAATCAGGCTGTGCGGTCGGTCTATTTCCCATGTTAAAGTCAGTTCAAACAGACGAACGACAATCATTCGAATTGTTGAACTGTCGAATGGCGTTCGAACTGTCGAATGCATTGAAGTCTGGAGAAGGTAAAACTTCAGCTGAATTAAAGATGGCCGCCGCCACGTGTTCGTTTGTTGATTGGCGGCCCCCCAGCATTCGGCAATTTACCTACAGCAGGCTCCCAGCCTGGGAGGTAAATTGCCTGCACACTTCCACTTCTGGGTGGTCCGCCTGTGTGGTACCTGGTTCAGTAAGCCCCATTTACTGAACCAAATGGGAGAAAGCCATAGACAAAGTATTTTAACGGTCTGGGAACATAGTCTTAAAGGGGCATAGTCACACAAAGTCTCAATATATCCCCAGACGGTTCTTAAAGGGCCAGTATGGTCCAATACAAGTCCATAAACCACAATGCAGTTCTTAAAGGGCCAGCAGCAGCACAATATAAATCCATTAGCCCAAATAATGTTTGTAAAGTGCCATACAACCCAGGGCCATAGTCATGAGGCAGGAGGCTGGCACTCAGGCTCCTCCAACAGCAAGGGGCAAAGGGCAACTTGTCACCTAAATATCCAGTGACAAAAGGCATTTCGTCACAAGTAGTGTCTCACATATGGATCTCAGCCTGACATACCGGAGACCTGCGCATCTCTTGTGTTAACGTTTACTGCTGTTCTAAGGGGACATTCACCAAAAAAACAAACTCTGACTAAAACTAAATTGAAATTTGCCGCCAAAATGAACACTGGTTTCTATAGCCACATTAGTCTCTGTGACAATTTGTAGGAATAGGGGGTCACTTTCATTATTCTACACCAAAATATTGTACAGATCAGGTATAGGTGCCCTATATGCTAGCGAGATTAAGCCAGTCAATGGAACACTCCAAGCAACAAAATCACTGCAGCCTGCTGTAGCATGGTTTGACAATTCAGCTGAATTAAAAGCCGCTCACTTAATGTTGTTGGCTGATTACTTTTCATCTTTCTGGCAGGATGGGTGTAGCTAAGGAGGCGGTGTAGAATTCTTTTTTTTTTTCTTTTTCTTTTTTTTACTATAAAGATTTGAGCATGCAAAAAAATACAACATAATAATAAGGCCAAAATATATCCAAATCATTAAAGTAGTATTGGTGTCCTTTTAAATTATGGTTAAACAAACCACAGCACAAATTCCAGGTTTTATTTTGCTTAAGAAGTTTGGTTAAACAATATGTATTTCAGTGTTTGTTAATAGGCTTGTGTTTCTAATGGATAAATATTTGTTTTTATCTAGACCTAGTATTGAAATTATTCATTACTCATGACTTCTCAAACCATTGGAATCTGGCGCTCAGTCCCACGCTATCCTTCAATATTGAAACACATTGAAAGATTACAGATTAAGAAGAGAGTCTTTAGTGTGAATGTTCCTAAATCTCGGAGACGAGTTGTGGTGACTGGAATTGGCACAATATGCCCTCTAGGAGTTGGTACAACGTTTGTATGGGAACGTCTAATCCAAGGTGCAAGTGGCATTGTTGCTCTCGAAGGAGATGAATATAAAAATATCCCTTGCAGAGTGGCTGCCCGTGTGCCCAGAGGACCAGCTAAAAGACAATTCAATGAAGAACGATATATCTCCAAGTCGGAAGTTAAATCCATGTCAACAGCCACCATCATGGCACTTGGTGCTGCAGAAGAAGCATTTGCAGACTCTGGCTGGAAACCAGAGACTGAAATAGAACAAGAAAGGACTGGTGTAGCCTTAGGAATGGGAATGGTCCCTCTTGATGATATAACAGAAACCTACACATTATTTAAAACAAAGGGATATAATAAAGTTAGTCCTTTCTTTGTTCCTAAAATCCTAATTAATATGGCTGCGGGCCACATCAGTATCAAATACAAACTCAAAGGTCCTAATCATGCTGTGTCAACAGCTTGCACTACAGGGGCCCATGCCATTGGAGACTCTTTCCGATTTATTGCTAATGGAGATGCTGATGTTATGGTGGCTGGTGGAACAGAATCCTGCATTGGCTTTCTGTCTATTGCTGGTTTTGCAAGAGCACGGGCACTTAGTACTAGTTACAATTCAAGTCCACAACTGGCTTGCCGCCCATTTCATCCTGAACGAGAAGGCTTTGTAATGGGAGAGGGAGCAGCTGTGCTTATTCTAGAAGAATATAACCATGCCAAGGCCAGAAATGCCAAGATCTACGCAGAAGTTTTAGGCTATGGGTTATCGGGGGATGCTTGTCACATAACTGCTCCAAGTCCAGAGGGTGATGGTGCTTTTAGGTAAGTGCAGGCATATTTGCAGTTTAGCAAAGTACGAAACCTTTAGTGACTGTCATTTCCACATGCAAGGTTTCATGCATAAAGGTGAAACTGGAGTGATTTTGGATGGTTTTAAATTTGGTGCAATCACCCTACAAAACCAATGGAATCTTGCAATTGCTAGGACTTGTATGTTTATAAGACAGTTCTGAGGCTGAACATGTTTTCAAATTTTCTGGCACCAGATACATTCTTTAAAAGGGTTATTAATAACTAAAGTGAGAATTGTCGTAAATAAAGATTGAATTTCAAATCTAAAGGCACACTATTGGGTCAGGAGCACAAACGTGTGTTCCTGAGCCTATATTGTTAAACACACATGTAGGATCCATGGCCCCCCCTTGCCTCACTTAATTAATAAGACAATGTACCCGTGTCCCTAGCACAGGACCTCCACTGCTTTCCTATGGGGAGCTCTAATGCGCATGTGCGGCATTGCCGCACATGTGCATTAGGTCTCCCCAGCCGGTGGGCGGGATCAGTCTCAACCACCGGTCGACGCAATCACAGGAAGGAGCGGCGGCGGATGAAGAAGCAGCGACGTGGGACATCGTCGCTGCCTCTGGTAAGTTACTGAAGGGGTTTTTATCCCTTCACCAACCGGGGATTGGGGGGTGGGAGGGAGAGGGGACCTGCAGTGCCAGGAAAACGGATTGTTTTCCTGGCACTGGAGTTTCCCTTTAACTGAAGTGAGAATTGTCAGGAATTCAAAGTGAACCTTTAAGTCCGAAATAACAAATCGGTAAACATTTTCCAAATGTATTCAATTTGAATTGCTGGCATTTCTCACATTAGTGAATAAGCCTGTTTATTTAGTCTGTGCTTTAACCGATCATTATATTTTATACACTGCATGCTATTAGTTTGCTTCCCACACCCAGTCAATGCCCAATATAAAAATATGCTTGCATGTTGTATATAGTGTGTCAGAAGAGGTCAGACATGTATGTGCTAGTGATTATTTCAAGTGATGGGAAGTAATAGTTCTAGATAAGTGATGTTTAATTTCTGTTCCAAGACCATGGTCATGCTAAACATTTTGCTATCGGTGAATACTTATTTACTGCAAGGAGTTAAGGTACAGTGTATATATTGTGTGAACTCATAAGTGCTGCTGGGGCCTCAGGTAGGTGCCCGGTTATTCAATAGTGTTTCAACATTGTCAAGATTATTAATTAGAGTGAGAATTGCTGGGGAATCAAAGTGAATTTAAAATTTAAGGCAAAGATAGCCAAACTGAAAATAAAAGTAACTTGGAAATTGTTTCCAGTTTGACTATTTTTGCCCTCCATAGTGCCGTGGTAGTTAACCTTTGGCACTCAAGATGTTGTAGACTTCATCTCCCATAAGGCTTTTACAGCCATAATGCTGGCAAAGCATCAGGGGATATAAATGTAGTCCACAACATCTGAAGTGCCGAAGTTTGTAGTGTTGGAAAACCCAGATACAATTGTAGAAACTGATGAATTTTCGCATTTTTTTTATTTTTTATTTACATAAGCGCCCGATCACTAGTTTTTTGTTTGTTTTCAAAGTGTAAAATCTTGTCTATTTTAACATTTAATTAATACTTTATTTATCTATATTATGCTTCCTGGAAGAACAAATTTAGTTTTCTCTAGTTTCCAAATACAACCTTGGGTATGCTATCAGATGTTCTACTCTACATCATAGAATATATTTGAAAATTTATTAAAGTGCGCACACATTTTAAAAGTTTTGTTTTGAATGCTCTAGCCAGATTTAAAATGCACACGTAACAAAGGCAAGTAGGAAATTGCAACAGGTGTGTTTAATTCTTGAAGAGAATTTGGTAAATGATATACTTATTTCTTAATAAAGGTGCATGAAGGCAGCCATAAAGGATTCAAAAATACGGATAGACGAAATCTCCTACATCAATGCCCATGCAACTTCCACACCCCTGGGTGATGCAGCTGAAAACAGAGCCATCAAGAGACTTTTTGGAGAACATGCATATTGCCTTGCAGTGTCTTCAACTAAAGGTGCCACTGGACATTTGCTGGGTGCCTCAGGGGCTATTGAAGCTGTGTTCACTATTTTGTCTTGTTACCATGGAATTCTACCACCTACCCTAAACCTTGATAGGACTGATCCAGAGTTTGATCTCAATTATGTTCCACTTAAAGCCCAGAAGTGGAAATCACAGAATACACGTGTAGCTTTAAGCAATTCATTTGGCTTTGGTGGCACTAATGCTACACTTTGTTTTGCAAGTCATTGAAAGATATTTTATGTATTAGTATTTAGTTAAAATATGGCATTTTGTACTTTATTAAAGTTTATATCAGTCAATGGAAATTGAAAGCTACTAATCCTGGCTTGATTTTACTCTTATGTATGCAAAGATTTAACATTTATTGGTCACTAAAGTAATGTAAATCCTGCAGATACATATTACCATGTCAAACTCAAAGGCTAGCATGGGCCACATAAACAAGGTTTAAGTTTATGTGGGCCGCAAAAAAAACCAAACCTTAATTTTTCATAGAAACGGAGGTTTGTTTAGAAAAGTACAGTGTATATAAAAAAAAAAAAACAGCATCTCTCTGTACTAAATCCTAGTCCCCCCCTCTGTACTAAAACCTAGTCCCTCCCTCTCTACTAATTCACAGTCCCCCCCTCTATACTAAATCCCAGCACCCTCCTCTACTAAACACGAGCCCTTGTTTAAAAAAACAATATTAGCCAACAAGCAAACTCCACTTACATTGCCGCTGCCAGTATGCAAATCCGGAGTCCAGCCTCTGGTATACTCCCAATGGCGCCGTCCGCATCCTGTGCCAAATGAATACTCCTGCTGCTCTTTGAAAAACTATGAAGGTGGAGCACGTTGACGTCACGTCAGAATGTGACGAGGCATTGCGTGCGTCTGTGCACCTTCAGGTCCTCAACTGTCCAGCTGCGGCCATCGAAACACTGACCAACACACACTGACAGAAACACACTCACTGACAGATACACACACTCTGACAGACATACATTCTTGCACACGCACCATTTTATTTATTGGTCCCTACCTTTGGGAGCTGTTGTGGGGCCTCTCCCTGATCTTCTCTCGCGAGCTCAGTTTTCCTGCTCCTCACGCGAGCAGTTTAGTGATGCTGGGCACGGAAAGAGGTCTTATTCCGGCACCCGGCATCACTTCAGTGGGTGCGCTCGAGGAGCAGCAAGACTGAGCTCCCTTGCCGCCACCAGGGACCTCTCCTCCCCGGCCGGGTAATTTTGGCAGAGTAGGCACCTGCAATGTGGGGCGAGCAGGTGCCTACTCTACTTTAGTAAGCATGGCAAACTTGTGGCTTGCTGGGCCACAAAAATATTCATTGTGGGCCGTGAGTTTGACATTCTTGCATTAGAATATTCAAAGGGACACTCTGGACACCAACACAAAGTAAAGGCACCCAGACCATGTCATCTCATTAAAGCGGTCTGGGTACAGTGCCTCTGTCCCCTTAACCCTGCAAATGTTAATTGTTGCAGTTTCTGAGAAACTGCAATAATTATAGTGCAGGGATGACTCCTCCTCTAGAATCTGTCTTCCTAACCTCCACTACAGGCATTTCCTGGTGTTTCACAGACTTTTACTTAGTGAAGCCACGCTGGATGTCTTCACGCTTTGCATTTACATACTGTTCTTTGAAAATTACACTACACTGCTGCCCCCCCTCAAAAAAAAAATCCTTACTGTTTTGTAGATAAATTCCCCCTATGAAAACATGCAAGGATTTAATTATGCATTTTTAAACTGGGTCTATATCTTAAAAACGGCTTACAAATGCTGCAACCTTCACAAGCCAGCCACATCTTCCCCAGCCGAGACTTTCTGTGGCTGTCAAATTCCAGGCTTCCCAATGCAGCTCATTGAAAAATGTTTGCAAGGCAGGTGCTCTGGGCAATTATCTGCCTCTTGAGTATAGTTTCACCGAGCTAAACAGCCAGGAAGTAACATGACTGGTTGTCTGACTGACAAACATGAGGGTGTAACAAGGTTAATTTATAAAGTTTGTCAATAGGTGGCAGATAGCGCCCAAAAAATCTTTATAATAATAAAAATATAAAGATAATAAAATATATATGTAACAAAGATATGTTCTTTTTTTTATCACTAGGATTAGATCCGGCTTACTTACATTTTTTGGAGCGGATATATGGCACTCCAGTTGTACCACCCACGCTCAAGACATATGGTATGGGTGGTACAATCTCCATCTAGGATTCTTTGACCAGCTACGCTGAAAATATTTATGTCTACACAAATAAAAACTGTCCAACAATACTTTATTAGTTAAAATACAAAATAGAAACAAATACTAGAATATCCACAGCCCATTTCACCAGGTAGGCTTTATTAAGTGGATGCAGACAGGAGTACCTGGAATAACAGTTGATATTGCTCAAATAAACAATGGTAAATTCAAAAAGGGCGCCAAAATTACAAAGTTGTGATCATTTGACTTTGTATTTATATACTTCAAACATGTTGCAGATTGTACTTGTATAAACTGTAATGAGACAAGGCTTTGGCTATATTATTAAACTTAAAAACCGAGCTTAATAGCGTATGATGTGGGCTAAAGTAATGGGTCATGAGACACGGCGGCCATATTCTGCTTCAGCAATCTACCTGCCGCATTTGGTTATATGGGTCACGGTGGTCAACCATGTGACTTGCAATATGGTCGCCGCATCCGCTCGTACTCTGTTGCCATGTTTATTCAATATATCTGCACACTGCCTGTGTTTCCCACAATTCCTACATATTTTAGTAAGATAAGGGCAGCTTTACAATATATTAACTGGCATAGACTCCTTAGTGGAAAAAAACACTGAGGATAAATGCAATATTTTCAAACAAATATTAGAAAGGTGCATTTCTCAGTATGTACCATTAGGTAATAAATATAAAAGAAACAAATTGAAACCAATGTGGCTTGGTGAGAAAGTAAATCAAGAAATTAAAAATAAATAAATTAAATCAGACAAATCCGAGGCATCCTATAAAAGATAGCATGCAAAAAGGCGATTCGATTTGCTAAACTACAAAATAAGAAACATTTTTTAAGTACCTAAATTAAAAAAAAAATTTTTTTAAAAATGTAAGTGTAGTGTAACGGATCACCTGGCATCCTGACTGGGTACCTCTGTTGAAGGATGCTCCTAGCGCTTCCTGAGGACTCCAAGCACTGCAGCAGACACCACAACCACCGAACCGGAGAAGCATACGAATGCTCTCAAGCATGTGAATGCTGTAAGCAGCTGAACAGGAAAAGCATACAATCAGTTTACACTCCTGGCAATCCGTACAATACACACAGACACTCCCACACAAAATCCTCCCCTCTGCCTGTGATATGATTACTGAACACAATGAATAATATTATAACAGGCAGAGAAATACAGTATTATAAAACATATCACCGGGACCCCAAAACATGCAATAACCCCATAAAAAGTATATCCTTGGAACCAGGAGATCCTAGTCTGCAAATTATAGAATTCTGAGCTTAACGTCTGTGGCTGGGAAAGTATTTAAAAGGTTATTAATCCCTTAAGGACACATGACATGTGTGACATGTCATGATTCCCTTTTATTCCAGAAGTTTGGTCCTTAAGGGGTTAAGGGATAATATTCAGGAATTCACTGGGAAGGACAATGAATCACCTTATCTTAGCAAAAATAAGCATGGTTTTATGAAACATAGGTCATGTCAAACAAACTTACAGGTGATACTCGAAAAATTAGAATATCGTGCAAAAGTTCATTTATTTCAGTAATGCAACGTAAAAGGGGAAACTAATATATGACGCATTACATGTAAAGCAAGATAGTGCAAGCCATGATTTGTCATAATTGCGATGATTATGGCTTACAGCTCATGAAAACCCCAAATCCACACTCAGTAAATTTAGAATATTGTGAAAAGGTGCAATATTATAGGCTCACAGTGTCCTACTCTAATCAGCTAAGTAAGCCATAACACCTGCAAAGGTCTCTGTCTGGTTCAGTAGGAATCACATTTATGGGGAAGACTGCTGACCTGACAGTTGTGCAGAAAACCATAATTAACACCCTCCATAAAGAGGGAAAGCCTCAAAAGGTAATTGTGAATGAAGTTGGATGTTCCCAAAGTACTGTATCAAAGCACATTAATAGAAAGTTATGTGGAAGAAAAAGGTGCACAAGCAGCAGGGACGACCGCAGCCTGGAGAGGATTGTCAGGAAAAGGCCATTCAAAAGTGTTGGGGACTTTCACAAGGAGTGGACTGAGGCTGGAGTCAGTGCATCAAGAGCCATCACACACAGACGGATCCTGGACATGGGCTTCAGGTGTCGTATTCCTCTTGTCAAGCTGCTCTTGAACAACAAACAACGTCAGAAGCGTCTTACCTGGGCTAAAGCAAAACAAACCTGGTCTGTTGCTCAGTGGTCCAAAGTCCTCTTTTCTGATGAGAGCAACTTTTGCATCTCATTTGGAAACCAAGGACCCAGAGTGTGGAGGAAGAATGGAGAGGCACACACTGCAAGATGCTTGAAGTCCAGTGTGAAGTTTCCACAGTCTGTGTTGATTTGGGGAGCCATGTCATCTGCTGGTGTTGGTCCACTGTGCTTCATTAAGTCCAGGGTCAACTCAGCCGTCTACCAGGAGATTTTGGAGCACTTCATGCTTCCTTCCGCAGACAAGCTTTATGGAGATGCTGACTTCATTTTCCAGTAGACCGTGGGATTACTGTGCTTGATTGGCCAGCAAACTCGTCTGACCTGAACCCCATAGAGAATCTATGGGGCATTGCCAAGAGAAAGATGAGACATGAGACTGAACAATGAAGAAGAGCTGAAGGCCGCTATTGAAGACATTGGTCTTCCATAACACCTCAGCAGTGCCACTGGCCACGCCGCATTGAGTCCGTAATTGCTGCAAAAGGGGCCTAAACCAAGTACTGAGTCCATATGCATGCTTATACTTTTCAGAGGTCCGATATTGTTCTATGTACACTCCTTGTTTTTTTGATTGCATGTAATATTCTAATTTACTGAGATTGTGGATTTGGGGCTTTCATAAACTGTAAGCCATAATCATCGCACTTATGACAAATCATGGCTTGAACTACCTTGCTTTGCATGTAATGCATCTATCTCATATATTAGTTTCCCGTTTTACGTTGCATTACTGAAATAAATGAACTTTTGCACAATATTCTAATTTTTCGAGTATCACCTGTAATTGCATTCTACGAAGAAGTAAGTAGAAGTATAGATCAGGGTGTTGCAGTGGATGTGACCTACTTGGATTTTGCCATTTGCATTTGATATGGTTCCACACAATAAGTTAGTGTTCAAACTAAATGAAATTGGTCTTGATTAAAATTATTGTTCTTGGGTAGAACATTGGCTTTAAAATATAGTACAGAGCGTTGTCATTAATGGCAAATTTTCAAGCTTGACAAAAGTAGTAAGTGGCGTCCCTCAGGGTTGTGTTCTGGGACTGCTTCTATTTAACATATTTATAAATTAACTTGAAATAAGAATTGAAAGTCATGTTCAGTGTTTGCAGATGTAAAGTAATACAGTGTGAGCAAGCTTTTACTTTGCCAGGCACTCAAATGTCAGATGACCGTTAAAGGGACACTATAGACATCCACACCACTTCAGCTCATTGTAGTGGTCTGGGTACATAGTCCCAAGTCCCTTATCTCTGCAAAGGTAATTATTGCAGTTTTTAATAAACTGCAATAATAACCTTTGGGGTTAACTCCACCTCTAGTGGTACCAGACTTTTGGTTGCCTAACTGACGCTGGACTTGCAGGAGGATATCCAGCATCATGTAAAACCCCATAGGAAAGCATTATAAATGCTTTTATATGGGAAAGATATTAATGGTAGCACGGCCATTGGCGCGCATGCGCTTTAGGTCTCCTCCACAGGCTGACGGAGGTGGAGGAGTGGAGGCGGAGCCCAAGCCATCACTGAGTGACATCTGTAGGTAACAGAGGAGAGTTTTAACCACTTCTGCACCACAGGGGGACGGTGCCGACTTTGTTTTCCAGGCACTATAGTTTTCCTTTAATTGTAAAAATTCAAAATGATACACTTTGGGGTAAAGAATGTACATTAAGAATAAGAACAAATGAGAAGGATTTGTGAATGGTTTTAGACAATAAAGCAAGTAACAATGTGCAATGTCAATCATCAGAAGCTAAGGCCAGTAAGGTATATTCATGTAATAAAAGAGGCATTAATTCTCGGGATGAGAATATATTTTTGCCTCTTTATAAATCACTGGTAAGACCACACCTTGAATAAGCTGTGCAATTTTGGGTACCTGTTCTAAAGAAGGATATTATGGCCCTAGAAAAAGTGCAGATGTGGGCTACAAAATTAATAAAAGGAATGGAACATTTAGTTATAAAAAAAAGTTAAATGTAAATCTCTTTAGTTTTGAAAATTGGCGCCTCAGAGGGGATATGATGGCATTATGCAAATATATTCGGGGCCAATACAAGCCATTGTCTGGAAATCTATTCATAAAAAGAACTATACACAGGACACAAGGTCACTATTTAGACTGAAAGAAAGGAGATTTAGTCTAGGGCAAAGGAATGTTATTTTACAGTAAGAACAATAAGGGTGTGGAATTCTCTTCCAGATAAAGTGTTTTATCAGAGTACGTACTGACTGAAACATACTGACACACATTCTATGAAATACACTATGCATTCTCTCTAACCTTCATTGCACTTTGCTCTTCATTCCTGTCTTCTTTACTGCATCCGATGGCCGACACTTTTTTTCCAAGCCCCACTTCCTGTTATTCTCCCGCTCCCTTGTCCCCACGTACAGGGCAAGGGGCGGGAGTGAGTGAATGACATGCCCTTGTGCTTCCGCGGTGCTTAACTGGGAGAGGGGTCCTGACTTAGCAGGCTGTGGTGAATGCCAGACCGACGTTCTACCCTACTACTTTCTACGTTTTCCCTCAATAAACATGCTTGTGGTATGTAGGGAGGTGATGGTTCATCCCGGCACTGGTGCGATGACTTAACGCTTTCCCCCTGCTTACCTCCTTTCTGCATAGTTTGCACTTTGGCAAGCGCTCATATGCAACGCTTTCAAAGTGGTTTTAAACATTGCTTCAACATGACACATTGGCCTCTCCCTTTCGGCCTACTATTGCTGTTAGAGTAGGACCTGCCAAAGATGGGGTACATTATTGACATTGTGGCAGGCTTATGCAATGTATGATCATATAATGTAACTAAACCCCTATTATTTTTTTGCCTAGGTGAGGTGTTTTTAAATAAAACTATTACAATCTCTAAGATTTGAAATAATTGTTTAGTGAATAAGCGAGTGTGCTGTATTCTGTATTCTGTATATATATACATATATATGCACATAGGCGTCCCTGGACATGCACTGACAGACAAATACACATTCACTGACAGACACACACATTCACTCACTCACTCACAGAAACACGTGTTCACTCACAGACAGACACACATTTACTGACAGACACATACTAACAGAGACATATTCATATGCACTGACAAACACATACAAATTCACTGACAGACACTTTCACAGACAGACATGCTCACGTTCACTGAAGGTGTATGTGTTTGTCAGTGCATGTAAATATGTGTCTCTGTGAGTATGTGTCTGTCAGTGAGTAATTGGTCAGTGAAAGTGTGTGTCTGTCTGTGCATGTGAATATGTGTCTCTGTGAGTATGTCTGTCAGTGAATGTGTGTCTGTCTGTAAGTGTGCCTGTGACTAAATGTGTGTGTCTGTCTGAATGTCTGTCAAATCAGTGAGAGTCTGTGTCTGTTAGTGATGTCTGTGTTTGTCATTGAGTATGTGTGTTTGACTGTCAGCATGTGTCTGCCAGTGAGTGTGTCAGTGGATGTGTGTATGTCTGGCAGTGTTTCAAATCAGTGAGAGTGTGTGTCTGTCAGTGAGTGTATGTGTATCTGAGAGTGTGTTCGTGTCAGTGTGTTTGTCAGTGGAAGTATGTGTTGGTTAAACAGTGTGTTAGACAATGAATGTGCATCAGTGAGTGTATGTCATTGTATGTGTATCAGTGAGGGCATGTTGTCTGTCAGTGAAAGTGTGTGTTGGTTAAAAAGTGTGTGCGTACAAAGAGGTAGAGTTTTAAGAGAAAAAGATGGAGCCTAAAGAGGGAAGGGTGGATCTTAATCAGGAAGAGGTGTGGCCTTGACAGCAAAGGATGGGGCAAGTTTAGATTACGGGGGTGCCCCAGGGCAGCACAAAACTAAAATACACCACTTGGTAAAATTTCTCCTGGTGAGAAGAAACTGTGAGATACTCTCTGTCTATCAACATCCAAGGATATATTCTCTAACCTGTGACATATTCTGTATAGTACACAGATTGTCCTCTCTACATGCAATACATAGCAGCATGTCCACTTTATCCCTGTCGTATCACTTTCAAGTAGTTTTATAAATGTAATTGTGTGTCTGGGCAGTATTGCTAATTACCTACTTGAGTAATTGGAGTTTTGCATGGAGTTTTTACATGCTTCAGTTACCCTTCTTCATAATTAGTGCTACATGAGGCTGTCCTCTGGCCAGGGAGATACTTGCAGTGATTTTATGCTTTATGTTTACTTGTATGTAGGTATGATCCTATAAGGTGTTTGCATCCTCTCTATATTAATAAAAAATAAGTAAAGACCCAGTCATTAATAAATAAAAATTTATATTATCATTAACTTGTGGCTTGATGATTGACGGTGCCATGATACACACTGATTGCTGTGTAGTCTTAAATATTAAGCTTATTCCTGCCTTGATTTGCCTATTAAAAATTTTGAGGAGTAGAGAAATATCAAACAGAACATCCTAATGGCTGTAAACATCTCTCCAGATGGTGTTAAGGATGATATTGTTCCTATTTTGGATTCATTATTTTTAGTTAGTTGACAAGTGACAATGTGTGAGCAGTAGATAGGCAGGTGGAATCCTAAACAAAATAGCATATTTAGTGTATAAATGACAAAATTAGGCGTGAGGATAAAACAGATTGATGGAGTAGGTATAGATAGAAATAAAATGTACATTCATTGCCAAGATCATATTTATAAAGCGTTTCTAGGATGAATATATTGAAATGCCTAATTTACATATGAAGAATAGGATATGTATGAGGACCCTTATTAAAGCCCCTAAAAAAAAAAATCTATTGTATTTCAGGTGCCCTTTTTGTGGTACAAAAATGCTTTTAAGTAATTATTTTAATTTCTCCTATGGCTTTCAAAAAAAAAAAAGGAATACTGTAGGCATTATAAACTTTAGGCTTATTCTCTTTGAAGTTGTTATAGTACAATAAGCATGACTCCCCTCCCCCACACCCCCTCCAGTTACCCAATTCTTTTTTGTTCTCGTATAATGGCTTAAAAGCACAACTTCTAGCTATGCCTGCTAGTCCTCTGTGTCACAGGGCAAGGAATCAAATCATATGATAAGGCTTTAAGCTACATGCTATATTCACTTGAGCCTGAAGTTATATATTCACGAAAACATATATGTGCTTCTGTAAATAAAATATTTTTTAATATTTATTTTATATAATATTTGTTTCGTTTCCTTTAAATTTTTTTCAATGAATAAAGTATATATGTGAAGATGAAATTAACCAATGCTCTTTAAAATGCCTTCCTTATAATTATTAAATAGAGCATATATCTCTAATAAGCTACTTATCTCCCTCAAACCATATTTAATTTGCAGTTTTTTGGCATTTTACTTTCTCTTTTTTGTTGACTGGGTGAATTAAGTATGTGTTTTAAGGATGATTTTATGTGTGCGTGTAACAGTCGTAAGCAATTGATACGCAAAACACTGAAACATTGTATGACCTTCTGTGTATGTGACTGGTTTCACAACTTAGGATCATCTACTTGAAAAGAGTGTGCGAATTATCAAAGTTTTCCATTGCATTTTACAGAACCTGTGTAACAAAAACCCCAAACCAATAGCTTACATCCCTCGAGCAGTCTTTCTGCCGACCAGTTTCCCATGCATGTTATCAGGAGATCAGATGGTGAGAAATAATAATATCTAGGTGTAACAATGCAAGTAGATGTTTTCCCAAGCCATCCTGTTTTTAAAGCTGAGGAATACTAAACCTACGCAAGAACCCACGATAACTGGTCACTTCTTACAGAATGTTCTAGTATAGCCAGGGGGAAGAGATCAAGGGTAAAACTTCTTTAAAAGACAGAACAGTTCTGGAGCAAGTTCCAAGGAGGTCAGCCCTGGGCTGTACTTTTCACGTGATCATGTGAATGGAGGCAGCTGTGTAACCAGCACTGATGACAGCGGGAACCAAAACATTTATACAAAAGTATAAATAATGAAAATCTTATCTTTTTTCTCCAAACAGAACGATGCCAAAGTGTATGGTCATAAACTGCAAAAACAAGCAAACAGCAATCTGAACGTCTCGTAACATTGTTTTCCTAATGCACCAGAAAATGTAAGAGCATGGCTCTGACCAATTTAACAATACTGAAACTGTGTACTGCTCTTACTGCAGTGTAGTGATTCACAACAGGATATGCTCAGACCATTTGACACCAGATTAACCAGATTTACATTCATATAGAAAATAAAATAAAGAACATGACAGTATTTAACTCCTTCAGGACTGGACTGTTTTGGCCAAGTTGCACGTTAAGGACCAGAGCTGTTTTAACACTTTTGTGGTGTTTGTGTTTAGCTGTAATTTTCCTCTCTCTCATTTAGTGTTCCCATACAACTTATATATTTTATTTTTTTCAGGACAAGAAGGGCCTTCTTTACCTACCATTATTTGTATCATGACATATAATTTACTTAAAAAAAATAATAAAATATGGTGAAAAATTGAAAAAAAAAAAACCCTAATTTTTTGACTGTTACTTGAAAATTCTTTTACTTATCTACAAAAGCTAATGAAAAAAACTGCTAAATAGATTCAAAATTTTGTCCTGAGTTTAAAAACACCCAGTGTTTACCTACTTCCCCCTCTTTTTTGTTGTTGCAAGTTATAGGACTATATGTACAAGTAGGACAATGCTATTTCAAAATATATATTTTTAAAATTTATCAATAGTGACATTGTAACTGTGACGAAGTGTCCTTCGCCACTTGTGCCTGGAGAGGACTGCTTGCCCGCCTCTTGCCCTGTGACTATGGCCCCTGGGATGTATTGCCCTATAAATACATGATTTGGGCATAATGGATTTGTGTTGTGCTGCTGCTGGCCCTTTAAGAACCATCTGGGGACATACTGTGGAGTTACTGGGTGGCCACCATTTCCTGTATCAGAAGCACATGGTGAGAACAATGGATGGCGGCCATTTTAACTCACAGACACTGTGTGGACTTTTCAACACGGTGCCATCTCGCCAGTATTTGGTACACAGAGACATCGTGCAGTGGTTTTGGACTATACAGCAGGGGACACATTATACAGTGATTGTTTTTCATTTAGCCTGTATATGTTCTGCAGAATCTGCATTAAACTGTATTTTCCAAAGTACTGAACGGATCTGGGTGAATTTTGGATATGTGGTTCACCCAGATCCCCCGGTTCCAAGGATATACTTTTATGGGGTTATTGCATGTTTTGGGGTCCCTGTGTGTTTTATGAAACTGTATAATTTCTGGCCAGCAGATAATTGAGCTTTGTGTATTGTAGAAACTCAATTATCTAGCCTGGCCCAGAGGAGGAGTTTTGTGTTGCATAAATTGTGAGTTCTGTGTGCCAGTAAATTAGTCTTGTTCCAGCATTAAGCCTTGGCTCATGTTTGGGGGAAGGGATACCTACACTCTGGGGATTGCTATAATCACTTACTCCCCAGAGGAAGCTCTTGCAATAGCTTGATTTGTTCCTGTTCCTGCTCTCTGGGGAAAGAGAGGTTCACCCACTGGAAGCTGGATCCTGGCCTTGGGTCCAGGGTGGGTGGAAACAGCAGAGACCCCGGCGCAGTTGCATCGCTGGAAGTGGGGTCTGCAGTGCTGATGGTGTCGGTTGGAGTGCTTGGAGTCCTCAGAGAGCACTAGGAGCATCGATTGGCGGAGGTACCCAGTCGGAGTGCCAGCATTCCGTCACAGTAACACTGTTATCTGAATCACACCTCACATGTACATATTTTTTTAAAGTAGACAACCCAGGGTATTCAATATGGGGTATGTCCAGTCTTTTGTAGTAGCCACTTAGTCACAAACACTGGCCAAAGTTAGCATTTATATTTGTTTGTGTGTTAAAAATGCAAAAAACAATTATAAATGCTAACTTTGGCCAGTGTTTATGACTAAGTGGCTACTAAAAAAGACTGGACATACCCTATTTGCAATACCTTGGGTTTTCTTCTTTTGCAAATGGTATGCCATCATGGGGGGTAATTCTCATCCCTGGGCTACCTTATACTCTCAAAGGCAACATAACCAACCTGTCAATTTTCAATGTAACCAAATTTGACCCTTATATTTGACCCTGTAACTTTTAAAAACACTATAAAACCTGTACATGGGAGGAGGGGGGTACTGTTATACTTAGGAGACTTCGCTGTACACAAATATTAGTGTTTCAAAACAGTAAAACATCACAACAATTATATCATCAGTGAAAGTGCTGTTTGTGTGTGAAAAATGCAAAAAAATGTCACTTTAACTGACAATATCATCACCGTGATATGTTTTACTGTTTTGAAACACTAATATTTGTGTTCAGAGTAAAACAGTACCCCCATGTACAGGTTTTAGGATGTCATAGAAAGTTACAGGGTAAAATACAGTGCTAGCAAATTAAATTATCTGGACTTTTCCACCAGGGTTGTCAGGCAGGTCCCTCAAATTGCAATCAATAAAATTACTTAAATATGTAAAAATATTACATAAATATGCATATAGAATTTAAATATATATATATACATATTTATATATTTGAAGTCTACGTGTATGTTTATGAAATTATTTATGTAATTTTGTAAATGGATATCTATATATTTCGTATTATTCTTATTTATTTATTTATATATACATAGATATATATAATTTAATTCTAAGTGTATGTAAATATATATTAATATCAGAATACAGTTAAAATAAAATTAAATATATATATTTTTTCAAAATGTTAAAATGATTTATATTAATATAAAAATACACTTAGTATGACATTATTTATATATATTTATATATATACCAGTCAAAGGTTACCTCTTTTTACAGAGGAGTGTGTATAACAAAGTGCTTAGACAATAAAGGTGATTTGCAGGCAGCTCAGTACACTTGTGTGGAAATATCCTCTATTCAACTAAACAAAGTTGTGGTTTTCAGTGCAGTGTAAGTAACAAGGACCTACACCTATAAGTGGAGCGCTCAAACACATATACAGCTTACCAGACATTATTTCATTCAATGGTAGAGTATAGGGTACATGTTAAGGGAAATACAAGGAATACAATATAGTGCAGATGGTACTTGAAGTGACAATGCAATAGTAGTAATGATGTCGTAATAAATGGTACACTCACATTTCAAGGAGCCTGTATATAGAAACACTGGCACCGTATTGAGGCTTGTGTGCTTATTAGGGTAGCACCACCCTTCTACTTCGATGTGGAGTAACTCTCGAAAACAAAAAGAGAGAGCGCGAACCAATGTGTAGATAGTACTTATAAAAACACAATAATGTGTTGATAAATGTGGTGCTCATCTGGTCCTGAGCCTGTGGGTTCCGGCTCTAGGTGTATAGATTCTGTGCCAATTTGAGTGGGGATGGCACTACCCCTTTGAAGATTCTCTAGAGGCTCCAAAAAGGACTTAAACGGGATCTTAAGTAAAATAACAAATTTATTGATGTATAATAAAAATAAATTTAAGTAAAATTAAATGTTTTAAAAGTCCTCAATAAAAAGTCCTTTAAAAAAATAGCCAATACGTGTTTCACTCTTAAATAGAGCTTCTTCAGTCAGCTGTAGTGTTGGTCCTCTGAATCTTCCATTTTTAAATGTCTTTAGGGTCTTCCCCTTTAATGAGCTCAGTACATTTTATCCAATCATAGTAGGGTTTACATTTTCCTTATATGGGGGAATATGTGTGTGTTCCTTTAATAGGTTTAGGTTTTCGGCGCTTTTATTTCCTATAAATTTCATTGGTGGGCAGTGGTGGTTGGCGGAAGTGGTCCGCATGCGTCCGGGCGGTTGGCGGAAGTGATGTCACAGACCCACGTGATCGTCACTCAGCCGCCGCCCGGAAGCTCCCTGACTCCCCAGTCATGCCGCACATCACCCATGCGTGCAGGCCGGGGGGAGGGGATTGTGATGTACACAGGGAACGCCGGCACGCTCCGCCCCTAAGGCGTGTCGGCCTCCCCTTACAGCTTGATAGACGGATATGTAGAAGTGTGTGAAAGATAGAAATCAAGAATGTCAATAAAGAATGAACAAAAAGTTATATAGCAGTAATAATAAACATAATTATATATTGTTTAACCTAAAGAATATAATATATAAATATAGTTGGTGATTAATAAAATATTAAAGTGCAATGTGCTTATAAAGTGATAGGTATTTCTTAAAGTGATAGTCATAAATGAGTTCTTATTATGGTGAATGTCCCTTTGGATATATATTATGTCCAATAGGGATATAAGTTTATATGCTTTAAGTGGTATTCACAGTATTAAATTAAAGTGCAGATACTGTACCATTAAATAGAAAAATTGTATATTTATAACTAAAGCGTAAATACATAATGTGTGTATAATAATGTATGTATATATACATATAGATGATTGTGGGACGTCACAGATAAATTAGTTTAAATGAAATGGCAGAGTTCGAAGTCTGCGTTCAAGCCCTGGGGTTTTAAAGTCCCAAGGTTGAATATCCACCTCATCTCGCTCTGTCCTAATAATCTGGAAAAATCCCCTCCTCGCCAGTTGCCCTTAACTTTATGTATACCCATGAATTTCAAATACGTAGGGTCATTATTGTGTGCCAGGGAGAAATGGTGTGATACACTATGTCCCTCAAATTTTTTCTTAATATTTCTAGTGTGCTCCTCAATCCTGGTGTGTAGTTTCCGTTTGGTGCGTCCCACATATTTTAAACCACATGGACACTCCAATAGATATATTATGTTATTTGAATGGCAGGTTATGAGGTCTCTAATAGGGAATTCCTCATTATTATTTAAATTCTTAAATTTTTTAATATGTCTTTTTTTATTGTTTGTGTTCCTGCATGCTAGGCATGTGCCACATCCATAAAAGCCTTTTCCTTTATCCAGAAAAGTGTTGGTTTTGGTTTTTTTAATATTTTTTTTTTTACCAGAAGTCTATTTAAGTTGGCAGCACCCCTGAATACTATTTTGGGTTTAGCTGGTAGGA